ACACACACACACACACACACACACACACACACACACACACACACACCAGGCACAATTTTAAAACTGAAACATAATTAAAGCCAAAATTTAATTGTAAATAGACGATGAACAGGCTCCTCTGAAAAAAATGTAATTGTCGCTTTCGCCCTTTCTGGAAAACCCTGATGACACGAGGTCCATTAAAGTACGTATTATTTACCGTCTTGAAGAATGCCACATGCCTGATTCACCGTGACAGCAAGTGAAAGTTGGAAAAAGCAGACATTTAAATAACCATTTTGGGAGACCCACAAGAGATGTTTTTAAAGATTGACTTTGCGGTAATTCTGCTGACTAATTAGAATCTTGGAATGAAACTATTTGTCAGATCTAAACGTATAGCAGTAGAGCTTGTGAAAGAGTTCGTCCAGGGATGTACTGCCACCTTACCCATTTCTGCCGCCAAGCAGTAATGTCAGCAATACTGTGTTCCGGTTTTGAAGGGTAAGGGTGCTGGTGAAATTACAGGCACATGGCACTTGTCAACTTATATCTCAGGGTGACGGGCGCAGTGGCTGTGATCTTTCCTTACATCCCTTAGATCTTTCCTATTTGCAGCTCTGAGTGGCACTGCAACTTTGACAGGCGTGTAGCTTTCCATCATGTACTCTCTCTGCTCTACCAACAAGTGGATGAAAACTACGAAAACATATCCTGAGTTAACCTATATAACCTTAGTAATATTTAAAGAAATATAAAAAATTAAAACATTTAATTTAAATACGTATAAATTAATGTCATTGCAGTATTGCTTAATCAACAATTTAAAGCCCTAAAATTCACCACATTCGAACTACTTGAACACAAGAGTAATGATAGCATTTGTCAAGTAATTTATAAATATATAATATCATGTAGAATTTTATACAAATTCATTTAAAGTTTGTATGATATGGTATGGTGGTGGTATGGTAGGCTAGAAAGTTGTATCAGAATAGAGTAAGGTGGCTTTCCGTGGCCGCTGCCTACCCCTCTTGTGGGACATAGGCGTGAGCTTAAGCATAAAAAAGTAATTGACGAATTTCGTTCGCAGAATCTTTAAATCTCTCTCCTGGAAAGTTATCATTTTGTAATTGTGACCTTATTAAACCAAGGGTGCAATGTATGCATTATAATAAAATTCGTTCCCATGTCTTTTATAACTTAGAAGCCTTTATCTACAACCGTATGAGTAAAAGAATGACTCACAAAACATCTCATACGACAAATATTCAATTATGTAATCAGTTAACGAACTTTAGATGTCTACAAATGAGTCAGATCGTTTCTGTTGACTCCTTTCTCTGCCAACATTATCTGTTAAACTTCTTCATGAAATAAGGATGTTCGACATTTTCCACTGAACCGACTATTTGGTAATAAAACTCATGTGCACTAAAGTTTTTACAGATATTTTTATTTATTTAATTTATCTAATAGGTTACAAGCAGCTTATACAGGTTTTTTTGTAAAATACTAACAACCTCCCAGAATTATTTTTCTTCTACCAAGCAATAATGTGGCCATTACTGCGTTCCTTTTTTGAAGTGTCTTGGTGAAATTACAGGCAGTCGCAGAGGCAGTGCCCCTCAGATCTTTGTGATTTGAAACTGAGCAGTTCTGTAACAATTATCATGGACAGACATGTCGCGTACAACCACGAACGCGACTGATTTGACCAGTCATTTTGTATCATAAAAAATCATAATTCACAAAGAAAAAACTGCAATAAGGCAAAATAACAATAGAAAACATCATACAATATCACGGCCATGAATGAGACGTAATTAAGTGATAAGTGATTCAAATTATGGCTTCCGCGTTATAATTACAATAAGTAATATACTTAGCAGAGGTCTTGTAAAACATTATAAGTGGTATGTTTATCTATATGCACGTTGTTGTCTTGTATTGTGTGTATATAGACATGTATTTATGACGTAAACTCTCCATCAATTGTTCGCACAAGAACATGTTAAAGATACGAGAATCCAGACATTGACAGAAATTACCAGGAAATCGCACTACAATAAAAAAAAAAAAAAAATTTATTAACTGCCTCCGTGGCCGAACGGTTACCATGCCGGACTGCCATGCAGAGGTCCCAGGTTCGATTCCCGAGTCGGGAGAAATATTTGTATGGCCTACATTTATTTCTCTCGTGAGTTTGGGTGTAATTTGTGGTTGTCTACGTGTGTGTCCATGGCACCCGCGACACAGGGTTTCCCTAGTGCGGGGCTATGTTGAGTGTGTACGTTATAAAAAAAAAATTCGGACTCTGAATTCATAGTGTTAGTAGTTGGGAAGGTACATTTTAATATCTATTAACGAGATTCTTCTGTAGAACGGCACAAGGCGCAGCTACCGGCTTAATGCCGTGTGCAGCTGCACCCAGCGCCTCACCATCGGAGAGTTCCGTCTAGCGGCAAGGGTGCTAAGGATGTAATTCGTGCTGCCTCATGGCCGAGGCAGGAGTGAGGCACAACGCTTTCGTATAACGGAAAAAGCAATCCGACTAAAAAGCCCGCGGTTGGTTGTTTGAGACCCATATAGCGAAACGGCGTACCCCTTGTTGTAATCATATTGTAGTATTTAATTTTACAGTAAACGCAGTTACTGTCCATGAATGGGTTAAATATTTATGATTGTAACAAGATAGAAAAAACAACAAGCAGCGAATTTATCAAAATATTCAAAAAGATAGAAAAGACACAAGAATAAATATTGACACAAATAAAAAAATAGACACTAGGTATCAAGTTTTTAGGTTTTCGCGATTGCTATACATTGTAAATAAAACAATTTATTTTCGGGATCTAAATCTCATATATTTTTGTTTTTTTGAAAGTAACTAGAAGCACCTGCGACTGGAAGCACCGGTGGTAGCGTGTTGTTCAGTGGAATGGAGAATACTTTGAAGGATGCCAGGAGCCGACCCAGAGCCGAATAACGGTTAGGTTAGGTAGTCGGATACGTTTGGGACAGACTTCGTACATACGTTTTAGATCCAAAAAATTGTTTCATTTCCAATCGACACTAGAAATTTAAGTACAATTGGCTTACCAACACAGTCTGGGGAATTTGGTATTCCCCAGTAGTATTTCCGCCTCATTGTTCTCGTTTAAACATCGGTTTCTACACACACATTTCACAGCTAAGTGTAAACGTCAAGTCATTAGCCTGTTCTTAAATATGTTGTACTGTGAGTACCGGTGTAACTTAGTTAAGTCCGGGTGCATTCACCGAAACGTCTTAACAAGAAACAATTCGTTGGTATAATACAGTGTGATTATACGTCAAAAATGCTTTTATCACATATGAAAGTCATAAAAATAATACAAACTATATAAAACAAATAATGCATATGTAAAATTTAGACAGATAAATAGATTTAATACTCAAAAAACAAAAACATCTATTATAGCGGCGACGAATACCGAAAGCCAGTATAAAGATCTATAAGAGAAGATTGTGTGATATTTTAAATACATAAATGATGTTTCAATTAATTTTTTATTGTAAATTTGTATTTATATTTTTGAATTTATATTTTTAATTCTAATTTTAATTTTGAAATTTAATTTTATTTGTAACTTTAAATCAATTATTGTATATCATATCATAGGTAGAAGGATTAACTATATGCTCGATAGTTACAAAAAACAACAATTTATTTTTTGTATGCATGCTGTGATGTTCCTTAACTATAGAAACACTTAGTTTTAAGCGAATATGTTCAAATTTAATGTATAGTGTATTGCTATGTGGAATATCCTGAATAAATAAATAAATAAATAAATAAATAAATAAATAAATAAATAAATAAATAAATAAATAAATAAATAAATAAATAAACAATCATCTCAGTACAGAGTGCTAAAAAAACCGACCTTCAAAGTTCGTGGAATAGGTTACCGGATAGTGCGCCAAACCGGGTTCATAGTTTGCCACCCTTAGAGGGGGAATATTTTCTTCAAATTCAAATTTAAATGAGACTACTACTGAGGCACAATATTTCTACCAAGAATCATCAAAATCGGTTATTGCGTAACACACATACAAAAAAAAACAAACGAATTGAGAACCTCTTCCTTTGTTTGAAGACCGTTAAAAGCACATACGAGAATTTCGACAACTCGGTAACTTGACCTGTGGCTCAGTTGGTAAGAGCAATGCTACGGTGAGCATGGTCGCTTGTTCAAGTCCCACCGGGTCGAACAAATTTTTCTGTGTGTTAATAATCAATACAAAAACAACTTAGAACTCATTTGGCTTCATCGCTAGGAGAGCGATCTCTTCTAGACAACCTTTATTTATTTATTTATTTAAAGTACACATTGTGAGTTTACAGAGTAACCCAAAGCACTCACAATGTTAGTCATAAAAGCAGTCAATACATAAAATTATAATGTCAACAAAAATAAAACAGAAAATAATACAACAAATAATAATAACAATCATGCCAAGAATATACTATGATCATGTCAAATAGTTATTTAAAAAAATGTCAAAATAAGTTATTAAAGTTGTTAATTTGTCGGTGAGCACATCAGCATCCCGGACCTCATCCAGGAGAGTGTTGAGCAAGGCAAGA